TGGTTATGGTTTGGAAATGATAAAAAAAAAGGCTTGAAAAAACATTCTGCTGAATTGCAAACGCAAATCACTTTGCACCTTCGCTGAAGATCTACTGTGCATTTACAAACATGTTTGCTCTGGATTTGAGACACAAATCACCAGAACATCAGGGCCTTAGTTTGCTGCTTTGAAAACTTGAGGCAGGATGTTTTAGTTATGTAGCTACTAGTGGTGAAAGGTTTCTATTCTTGATGCAGGTTGGTTTATTCTGAAATTTCTGTTTTTGACTCTCATACAAAATAAATCAGATTGTGTCTCCTCTTCCTTACTTTTAATGGGGTAAACTTTGAACTGCTGTAATGAATCGAGAGATTCTTAAACTTGAAGATATCATTGTGAGGTGGAAACGCTCATGGATGATCCTTGTCAAACTCGGAATAGAGACTTCGGGGAAAAAAATAAACACAAGTTTCTCAAATCTACTAAATGGGGGAAGCTGTCCCTATAAAAAGGAAAACATATGCAGTTGTGAACATTAGTATGTTTATACAGTGTACATCTGAAGACACAACATATTTAGGGGAAATTGTCTGAGGTGGAATGTTCTAATAGGTCATTTCATGCAAAGGATTGTGGGATTCATATCTATCCTAAGCTCCTAAGAAAGGAATATCAGTAGCTCCCTATCCTAGATGAACTAGCAAAGGAAGAATACAGATTCCTTTTCCTACCACCTACTCTACTGCAAGCGCTGTTGGAACAGCCTTGATAGTCCTTACTGATTTAATGAATTCTGGACATACTTCCGCTCTGGAGTTGGCCCTGGTGAGAGGCATGGAGCAGGAGTGGACATACTTGTTGCCCCTCATCTTGGTGCCTGTACGTTGGGGTTCACCTCAGAGAACGAGAGGGTTGTGTCCCGTGGGGGGACGGGTTCTGACTGTTGTTTGTGCTTATGCGCCAAACAGTATTTCAGATTACCCACCCTTTTTGGAGTCTTTAGAGGGGATACTGGAGAGTGCCCCTCCTGGGGACTCCCTTGAACTTCTGGGGGACTTCAACGCTCACGGGGGCAATGACAGTGAGGTCTGGCGAGGCATGGTTGGAAGGAATGGCCCAGCTGACCTGAACTCGAGTGGTGTTCTGTTGTTGGACTTCTGTGCTCTTCATGGATTGTCCATAACAAACACCATGTTCAAGCATAAGGGTGTCCATATGTGCTCTTGGCACCAGGACACCCTAGGCCATAGTTCAATGATAGACTTAGTTGTTGTTTCATCTGACCTGTGGCCCCATGTCTTCGACAGTCAGGTGAAGAGAGGGGCAGAGCTCTCCACCGACCACTACCTGGTGGTGAGTTGCCTCCGATGGTGGGGGAGGACGCCAGTCAGACCGGGTACGCCCAAATGTATTTTGAGGGTTTGCTGGGAACATCTCACAGAGTCCCCCATGAGAAGGAGCTTTAACTCCCATCTCCAGCAGAGCTTTGAACATTTTCCATAGGGAGGTGGGGGACATTGAGTCTAAGCGGACCATGTTCCGTGCTTCTATTGTTGAGGTGGAAAAGGGAGAGTGCCTTCTCCGGGTGTACTGCCCCTAGTGGAGGACTTTAAGTATCTTGGGGTCTTTTTCACGAATGAGGGGAAGATGGAACGGAAGATTGATAGGCAGATTGGTGCTGCATCTGCTATGAAGCGTGCGCTGCACTGGTCTGTTCTGGTAAAGAGAGAACTGAGCCAAAAAGCAAAGCTCTCGAGTTACAGGTTGATCTACGTTCCTACCCTCATCTATGGTCATGAGCTTTGGGTCATGACCTAAAGAATGAGATCCCTGATGCAAGCGGCTGAAATGAGTTTTCTCAGTAGTGTGTCTGGGCTCTCCCTTAGAGATAGGGTGAGGAGCTCAGTCATCCGGCGAGGACTCAGAGTAGAGCCGCTGCTCCTCCACATCAAGAGGAGCCAATTGAGGTGGCTCGGGCATCTGGTTAGGATGCCTCCTGGACGCCTCCCTGGTGAGGTGTTCCAGACACATCTCACTGGGAGGAGGCCCAGGGGGAGACCCAGGACTCGCTGGAGGGACTTTGTTACTTGGCTGACCGTGGAGCGCCTTGGGATTCCCCAGGAGGAGCTGGCCCAAGTGGCTGGGGAGAGGGAAGTCTGGGCCTCCCTACTGAAGCTGCTACCCCCGCGACCCGACCCCGGATAAGCGGAAGAAGACGGATGGATGGATGCACACTGCACTAGCAGCCCACACGGATTGCACCAATCAGGAGGGAATCATTTGTAATTTCTCCTACTGAACACAGAGTAAACTACCAAGGAGGAGGGATTCACTGCCTGTGGAAGTGATGCTGATTCACTCACCACCATGTAACACAAAATAGCTGAGATGAATAAACACTACTTGGGATAGCTAGCATTGAGATTTTTGTAATAGATTTTTACAGACATAATCTGTCAGTAGATATTTTGCATCTGTGATTGTTCCAAAACTGTTATTGAAATTCATATTTTTTTTCTTTAGAGGTCAGTGGTGGAGAGGCTGATAGATATTATTTGAAAACAACTACAGTCTTTTCTGATTGGTCGATTAAATGTTTTCAGGAAAACAGAAACATTTTTCTGTTGAGGTAATTATTTTTATAGAGTGGAAACTGTATCCCTTTATTATATAGAACAATAAAAAATGCTCAAAAATAAAATTAGTTTGTAGATCCAAGGTTTTCACTGTTGACTGATTTTATTTGCTGTTAGTTTCATTGGTTAAAAACAACCACATCCTGTCTTTTTGGTCTTTAAACCTAGAATGGAAAAGATCCAAAGCCTGGAGATCTGATTGAGATCTTCCGTGTCGGCTATAAGCACTGGGCCGTGTACATCGGCAGCGGATACGTCGTTCACTTTGTGGTAAATGGTGAGTCTTTCACTCATATTATCTGTAATGTTTTAAAAAGTGAACAAAAAACCAAAAGCAATGTATTTAATAAAATATATTGTATATAAACTGGTCTGCAGAAACTCTATGATGGTGGCCTGTTTCATAGCAGTCCTCCACCTGCTGACCTCTGGCTGAAACCATTTTGATTTATAGATTTAGGTCAAAAGAAGAGAAACCCATGAAGTTCTGGGAGGTTTGCATGAATGGTTATTAAATCTTTAAGTATTTTTACACATTCGCCCGCCCAGGTTTATGCTGCAGCTCCAGCAGGGTGCCGGTACCAGGAGAGATGGGAGTTGTGATGAAAGAGAAGCTGCAGGAAGTGTTGAAGGGTGACAGATGGAGAATCAACAACTACCTGGATAGAACATACAAGCCTCAACAGATTTATGCCATTGTGAAGCAGGCCAGTGGATTCATTGGTGCTCGACTGCCGTACAACCTGGTTAGCTTTAACTGTGAACACTTTGCTAATGAGCTGCGCTACGGAAAGCGCACATCTCGACAGGTAGGTCAGAGGTTGTTGATAGTTTAATATTAAGTTGCAGAAGCTGGGGTGATATGGTGTGGTGAAGTTTTTACAGGTATGATATCTTTGCTGAAAGCTCAATGTCTCCCCTACAGGTGATCCATGCTGGAGTAGGTGTGGGTGGAACCATGGCGGGCCTTGTTATATTAGCTGGGACTGTGGTAGGAGCCCTGTTAGGCCTCGGCAGAAACTGACAGAGCAGAGATGTTAGTTTTTGAGAGAAAATGTTCAAT